TCACCAAATAAATATATATATATATATATATATATATATATAATTTTTAATGGTTTTTCCCTTGCAATTTCAAGGAGTGTATTAGTCAATGCTTAAAATATATTAAGTAAATAATCTAAGGAAATATATATTAAGTATTAAATTTTAGATATTAGAAATTTAATAATATGCCTATAATGTACTATTTTATTAGATATATTGGTAAATACTGTGTTTCACTTTTCTTTTAAAAAATAAAATAGAGAAATAGAAGTATTTTTTTTGTGCGATGTTAGGGCTATTAACAATCTGATTTCGAGCTGAGTCGAGGTTTGCTCAAAATTGGTTCGAATTTCTTTAGTTCGGCTTGAAATCAACTTCTGGCTCGTAGTATTTTATTTTGAGCCGAGCAAGTTTGAAATTGAAATCAAACCTAGCCCGCTTAAATTGAGTTATGTGCACCCATTTCAACTCATAATCAGCTCGATTCGATTCAGCTCATAATTGAAACTAAGTGGCTCAACCTGAGTTATTTGGATTCGTTCTGGCTCGAAATCAGCTCATAAATCGTTATATTCAATTTTACTTAACATTATCTATATAATTTTTATAAATAAAAAATGTACAAATCTATCATGTCGGTTCGAGCCCATTCGTGTATGGCTTGAAAAACAATTCGATCCAAAATTTTGGGTCATAACTCTGCTCTTTTATTTCGATTCAAGCCAAAATTTGAATCAACTTTTGAGCAATTAACCAGCTTTGAGGTAATTTGAAAGCCCTGATGTGAAATATTTAGGTGGTATAAATGTAAAAATAAAACAGATTAGGGGTGTAGTAAGTCAATATGTAGGAATTGGGTGGTATAAATGCAAATGATCATTTGTTCCATTGACTGACTACCAACAGGAAGCCGCCGTTGAGTCCACTCTACTGGCTCCAACAGCTGAGAAGGCCCTCCATCTTCGAATTTTCCCTGCAACCGCATCCCCATTCCACAGAACACGAAGGAAGAGGTCGTGGAAGCGGAGCAGAACTTAACCCTAAACGAAGATGAAGCAAGACTGGAATCCATTGGAAGGTATTATGGTGGAGCGTTGCTGTGCCCTCTCAATGAGGGCGCACTCCTCCTCTCCGTCTTCCTCCTTCCTCCTCCGCTCCTTTACCGATCCATCTCCGTGCTCCGTCTTCACCTTCCGGGCGTCGTGGTCCGCCGGCGACTGGATAGCGGACGATCCGTTTCACGGGAGTTCGTTCGGCGAATCTGTTGTCGACGCCTCCCTCTTTCCTTCACTTAGGAGCCTCTGGAACAATGCTCCTGCCATGGTTAATCTCGCTTTTCTCCGATCCTTTCAAACAATTCTCGCGGAAGGAAGGTTCCCAGCAGAGGTAGCGTGATTTAGTGAAAACTATTTTTTCTTTGAGTAATAGAGATTAGGGTTTTGTATAAGAAAATGTAGAAATCTGGGTGTTATATATATAAATTCATAAGAATTTGTTGGTTTGTTTGTGAAATATTGGTCTAGATTATGGATTTGGGATTAGGACTTAAGAATGGAGTGGTAGTTGGAAGCTATTGAATGCTCATAGAGGCTGTTGGCATCCAATTTCAGGGAGGCGTAAAACAAGATTTATCATAGTTCTTGCTAAAAACTATATTGAGGACTTATAATTTTTACTGCTCTGAGAAATCCCATCTTGTTCCATTATTGAGTAAATTATGAATTTGTCAAATTTATAATATTTGCAAAATCTAATATATTTAGGCGGTGTTTGGCTGCAACCTGGTTTTATATTAAATAGGATTTATCAAATTTAGTAAATTCAGATTTATCAATCCCTATGTGATGGAGATTAAACTCACGAGCGAAGACGGAGTAAATTCACTCTATAATCGGATTTACATTGTAAAAGAGAGGGAACACGAGAAATAGATACAAAATATGAGAAATTTTGATTTAACGGAGCTTTGGATTTAATTTTCATTTTAAAAGAGAAGAAACAATTTAAGTGGAAAGACAAGAAAAAAATTGATTTTTTTTTCCAGTGATCCACTCAATTGATATATGAAATTTAGAAATTCAAGTCTAGAATTCAAAATTGAATGTCATAATAAGCAAGTTTCCTCACACAAGGGTTGTTCTTTGCTTAAGGAGTTCTCTTAGAATAGTAATGAGTGGAGATCTTGGTCTAGGTGCTATGGTGAGTTATATTGAGTATAGTGCATAATCGAGTTAAAACATGCGAAAAGGAGTGCGAGAAAGTGTAGATTATGGATTAATTTAAATGATTAATTAATTGAATTGGATTATTACTAAACATTGATTAACAAATCACTAAGGGATAAGTTAATCTAAGATGTATGTGAAACACTAATGAAAGCACATGAGCTCTTACATGCATTTAGAAAGTTAGGGATGTATTTATTTGATTATCTCATTAGCTTGTGGCTGACTCACGCACCATTTAAGGGATTAATTAGTTTAAGAAACCAATTAAATAATAGTTATAGAATTAATTGAATGAATCTAATCGAATTGGATTATTACTAAACATTGATTAACAAATCACTAAGGGATAAGTTAATCTAAGATGTATGTGAAACACTAATGAAAGCACATGAGCTCTTACATGCATTTAGAAAGTTAGGGATGTATTTATTTGATTATCTCATTAGGTTGTGGCTGAATCAAGCACCATTTAAGGCATTAGTTAGTTTAAGAAACCAATTAAATATTAGTTATAGGATTAATTGAATGAATTAAATAAAGGCTTAAAATAATTATTACTTAAATTGTTTTTTTTTTAATTTTTTATATTTTTTAAATCATATGATAATTTATCAATTTTATCTTCTTAAAGTTTATTATGTATCTTTCTTTCTTTTTGCAATGCTTTATTTTGTTGTAATAACAAAGTAATTCCATGTAATAGATGGGAGAATAAAAGATTATTAATCTTTTTTTGGAAGTATCATATAGCACCTAATGTTTAAAATTAAGAAGATTTACATACATACCACTCAATTCCTGTATATTTACGCATCTAACATCTAAACTTCAAATTTTACATATATGTCACCTTACCCGTGCATGAAAAGGTGTATTTCACTTTTTAAAATTTAAAATAGTGATATTTTTTATATGATATGAAAGATTTGGGTGGTATAAATGTAAAAAGTAAAGTTTAGGCGTAAGATATGTAAATACATAGGAATTGGGTGGTATGTGTATAAATGTCTTGTAAAATTACTACAATAAAAGATACCTTTTGTTCTCCCATGCATTCCAAGGAATTAGTTTACCGCATTTAATTAATTTACTAATTAGCATTTATTGGGCCCCTTCAATTAATTAAGGGCCATTTACATACATAGCACAAAATTGTTATGTATTTACATATCTCACACCTAAACTTTCATATTTACACACATAACACTCAATTCCTTAATATCACATAAAAAATAGCTCTAATACCACTTTTTAAATGTCAAATACACATTTTCAAGCATAGGTTTAAAACATCAAAGTGCTATATTAAATACTTATTAGTAAGCAAGAGGTGAAATTCCTTTTTTAATTTGATTTTTTGTTTTAATAAAGGAGAGAATGGCTTAATAAAAAGAGAGCATAGCATTTAAATTATACTATATCAGATATATTAGGCTTATTAATTTTTTTTTCTTCATTGTTTTAACCTTTAGAAAATCTCTTCCTGTCGAATGAATAGAAAATTACAGAGATCTATTTTGAAATGGATCCCTCGTTCTTTCATTTTGAAGTTAAAAAAAAAAAGAGACATTCTCTTTTTTCTCACTAAATTTTTAAATTTAAGATTAAATTTGATTTAAATCTATTAAATATTTTGAGCTGAGTGTTTGTGTTTTTTTCATATGGATTTTTGATATTAATTACAATGCATTACTTAAAGCTATGTATTGTATGCATATAATCTTGAAGTAGATTTTGATAGATTATATAGATATAACTTGCCCTTTTTTTATGTTTTTAGCCTTTAAATAGAGTAATTTTTCTTCCCACCAAAAGAATAAAAATTTCAAAAAAAAATTAAGAGAGGTTAATTTTGTAATGGAGTTATCTTATTTTATACCTTAAATGATAATGAAAACTCTCTCTTTTTGCTCATTATAATGTGGATTTTAGGATAGATGATTGGTTGAAGACGAAATTGATGAAACTTATTCTATGAAAAAAAAAAGTCTCGAAACATAGAAAAGCAAAGCTAAGGGAACAACATATCCAAAACATACTGTGCAGGGGAAAAAATTGATGGTTGCGAAGCGAATATTAAAGATCTGACCTTGCAACATAGTTTTCTTTAAAATTTGCTTAAAAGGCAACTTTACTTAGCTCAAAAAGTCACTTTTTGACTCCTTGTTATAGTTTGCATTCTTATCCTGTGAGTCACGTCTGTTTGTATCCATGAAGAAAGCACAAACGTCAATATTTTAGGAAATATAGCTAAAAATGGAAATTTTGCATCTAAGGGCTTCAAATAGACAATCTTTATGTAAATTTTCTCAATTGTGTAATATCCTGCACTTTCCTATAACCCAACCTCAGCCTAGAACTCTTAGTATCATAATCAATGCAATTAGAAGTGGAAGTGATAAGAAGAGCAAATAGAAGGGAATCTTAGACAAGGAACCTCAAATGTAACAATGCAATATTCTCTTTATTCTCTTAAATAGTTGCAGGCACAGGAAAAAAAAAATCTCTGTATAAAATTTTTCTAAATGAAATAAAAAAAGGAGAGTTAATTAAACTCCTCATTTACTATTATAATGAAAAACTAATTGTATTATTAACTTTCTAGTATTAATGCAGTTACTGTTGAGGTTCTCTTCGGTATTTTTTTTAAGAGCATTTGCATACACACCACCTATTTCTAAGCTATTTGTAGATTTAACATCTAAACTTTGTTTTTTTCCATTTATACCACCCAAATCTTTCATATCACATTCGTTACATTTATACTACCCAAATCTTTCATATCACATTCATATCACATTCGCATCAACAATGCCACTCTTGTAACCTTTAAAGGAAAATTATACATTTTCATGCATACGAAAGTTGGGATATATGTAAAAATTAAAATTTTACTGTTAGATATGTAAATACATAGGCATTGAGTGTTATTTATGTAAATATTCGTTTTCCTTAAGATGAATGCTTGGTTAGCATAAACTCATGTAAATACATAGGCATTGAGTGTTATTTATGTAAACATTCCTTCCTTTTCTTTAAGATGAATGCATGGTTAGCATAAACTCGTTGTTTTTGACTCTCAGGTTCACAGGGCTATATCTGAGAAGAAGCAGATAGTTTTTACTGGCCATTCTTTTGGAGGAGCCATGGCAGTCCTCGCTACAGTCTGGCTCTTTGAGCTGCATGCCAAATCCGACAATACCAGTCCAGTACTTCCGTTCTGTTTGACTTTCGGGTCTCCACTTGTTGGCAATGAGGTCTTTCGCCATTCTCTCCAACGGGAAGGGTGGTCGCGCCATTTCTTTCATTTTGTGATGCCATTAGATATTATTCCACGAATTACATTAACCCCCCTGGCATCTTTTAAAGAAGAACTTCAGAACTTTCTGCAAATTTTATGTTCTAAATCTCTGCATTTCAGCCTTGATACCATTGGTAACTCTCAGATAGTGACATTCTTCTACAGCACTGTATTGAGAAATTCATATTTGCTTTCCTGTCATAGGGCCTGTTTATCCATGGGATGTGCAAAAAACCCATTGTTTGGGTCCTTATCTGCATTTGTCAAGCTTTCTCCCTACAGACCATTTGGAACATACTGTTTCTTCACCCGAAATGGGCGACTGATTAACTTTAAGAACTCGGATGCTATCTTACATCTGTTGTTTTATTGTCTTCAACTGAATCCTGAAGAGGAAGCGACAGAGGTTGCTTACAGTAATCTTAAGGAGCATCTTCGGTATGATACGAAAGTGAAAGAGTTGTCAGAGCTGCAAAATTTTGTTGATGTGGATTTCTTAGAGAAAATTCCATTATCCATTAATGATGCCCTCAGCAATGACAAGCAGGCATTTGGGGTAAATTTTGAAGAGCTTGGACTGGTAAGTATTGCTTTCTCTAATTGGTTAAGGTTATAGCATTGCTTGTTAAAAGGATAGTGCCTATTTTTTTTGGGTAAATTTGCATACCTAGTACACAATTCTCATGTATTTACCTATCTCACACCTGAACTTTCATATTTACAGACGTGGCACTTTGGTGCTTTGAACATATTGATGAAAACGTGTTTTTGACTTTTAAAAAGTGGTAATAGTGCTATTTCTGATGTGATATGAAAGACTTGAGTGCTATGCGTGTAAATATAAAAATTTAGGTTTGAGATATGTAAATACATTAAAATTGTGTGCTATGTGAGTAAGTGGCCTTTTTTATTCTTAGCTGTACTGCTTTTATGATTTTGGATTTTAAGTAATTCTATTAGTTGTCTTTGTTTTTGCAGCAGTGAATTAAAGATCAATTATATTTTTCCTTTTTTAATGCTGTAAGCTAACATGCCACTGCGTCAAAAGCACAATGCGAAAATATTTAATTTTTTTATTATCCTTTCAACTAAAAAAAAGGCTAGTTTTATTTAATTGTAGAAGTAAATAATTAGTTGGTATTGAGAAAGATATTTGATCTATTTTCATGTAATTGCTAGGGACTTGAAGTATTTACCGAACTATTTAGGGTTTAGGGTTTGCAAATTTTGTTGTTTATGTCATTGTTGTGACTCCTTCCATGTTAAGTGCTGTAAAATTGGTTGATGAGTTACTCATACTTATATTTAACTTTGATTCTTTATGTAGTAAGCATGGCATTAATGGAGAAATGTGTAATTTCTTAGATAGCAAGCAAAAGAAAATGGATTTAGTGATTTTGACTAAATTCAATGCATTACAAGTAAAGAAGTAAAAACATTTATATGAAAATGACAATATTAGAAAGATGAAAATGCTTCTTTTAAGAAACTATTCAATTGACATTCTCAATAAAAGTTATTCTTATAGAAGAGCTAAAGTAAAGGAGAATTATCAAGTACAATATAGAGCAGTTTAAATTAGAGTTAAGATGAGCTGGTTTTGAAGAATCATGGAGCTAAATATCCAGGATGATTTGAGATACCTATTACAATTTGAGAGTTGTGCCAATGTCAATGCCATTTAATTTTCATTGATGATCGAATTATTTCCTTTATTGGTTCATAATTCAGGAATTAACTAATTTGAATGATATCATATTAAATATTGTGTATTTTTGAATCAATATTTTTTTATTGAAATGTAAAAATTGAAAAATAAAAAGATATAAAAGAACTTTGTTTTGTGATAAACCTCTACACTTTTATTTCTATTTTACTTGGCTCTCTTGAGCTCAACAATCATAATGAGATTTGGGTACTTCATTATCTTGGTCTTGTAGGCCTTAGTGATCTTATTGAAAACATTGTTGGATCTTGAGAATTTGGCCAATGATGGATGATCACATGATTAGAGAATCTTTTGAATATAATAACGGGAGTTTCCATGTTCATTGTGAAGCATGTCGGCTGAGCCAGTTCACATGTTATTGAAGGAACGAGGGGATGTGAATTGTCATCAAGAGGAGCCTAATGAAAAATCAACGTGATTATGAGTTATCCATCTGATATGTGATATTAATTGGTTAATTTTCTTTGTTTTTGATAGTAAAAAAAAAATATAGGTGTCTTTTTTTATTTTGGCTCGAGGGGTTGGGGTTTGAAAAGTGACCAAGGGGAGATGAATGAAAATTCTATGTAATTATGAGTCATCCATTGGTATGGCTTGTTAGTTGGAGAGTTTTCCCTCTTTTTGATAGTTCAAAGATTGTGTTTCAATATCACACCAACTCGAATCAATTAACCGTCGATTCTCAATTGAGTCAATCTTGTAGTTAGTTAAATCTAAGTTTAGCAATGCTAGTTTTGGGAAAATTTGGAATACTGTGTTAATGATTCTTAAACAATTATTAATACTTAAGAGGATATCAAGGATTTTATAAAGTTATTCAATCTTCAAGAATAAATGATATCCATAATTAAACTTTATGACTCTATGAAGCAAACTTTACTATATATATTAAGGGCAACAAATTTAGCTAACCGAAGATCTTTAGATTGATCTAACAATAGGAAAAGAAAAAAAAAATTTGACAATTTGATCGGCAGTAGTGCACTTGATCCCATCAGAACCCTGCAGTTATACGTGCGTTGGCGAGAGTAATACTAGGACGACCTCCTGGGAAGTCCTCTTGTTGCGCCCTTTCCCCTTCTGGAGAAAAAGGCTTCACGTAGCCGACCCCACTTAGTGGGATAAAGGTTTTGTTGTTGTTGTGGTTGTCGATCGGCTGATGATTTGTTCTTACTACTGACAAGATTTTGATGGGTATTCACCGATTATCACAAGAATCACAATATAGAATTGCTTCAATAGGATCCTACTAAAAGGATCACATTCCTTGGGATTTTAGGCATCTTAGAATCTACTAATGGGATCTTAGCATCTTGTCAAATTTCCCTTAGCAGAATCTCTTGATGATGTAGGAATTTGTGGCCACAGCTGAATATGGCTGGGTGTTGCGGAGCTGATGGCTGAAGTAGGAAGAATTAAAAGTTAATCCACTGAAACTGTTTTGCCATTATTTAAAAAAAAGTTGAGAATCAAGGGTCTGGTTCAAAATGATTCTAAAATGGCATCCTTCACAAGACGACTAAATCACGAGCTTATTACATTACTTTCTCTTAAGATTATCTCAAAACATGAGGGAAAGAATAATGATATTATAATGATTACACCTTGTCTATGAAATTCCTTTTAATGTGGTGTCTAGGGATGGATTGATGTGCATAATCTTTACTATATATTTGCAGAGATACCTTCCATGTCCTCTACCTAAGAACTTTAAAATTGAAGTAAGTTAATCATTATTCGAGACCTGCCCATTATCTCAATGACTCGAAGAAAAATACTATAAAACAATAATTAGATTGCTATCTTATATGGATATGAATCTCCATAAAAAAAAACGTTCAATAAAAACTAAGTTGTCGTAGAAATTAAAATATCAAGATTAATGCGTTAAAAAATTTAGAAGAATGAAATCTCGATATTAGAGTGACTATGTCATGGCATGTATTGTTATAAAATGGTTGTGAAAAATATCCTATTAATTGGTTGAACATTTAGACTTTAGGGTCTATTTGGGATGACTATAATTTTTTAAAAAGGTGGTTGTAAAACTATGTAGGAGAACAACTTCTTAGAAAGCTGTGGTGGGAATTATAAATATATAAAGTTTTTCAAAAAAATAAGATGACTTTCTTACAGCTACGGTTTTAACGGGCCGGGTTGAAAAAAAAGCAACTACCATCACATAAATTTTTGAAACTAGCAAGAAAGCAGTTATCCAAGCAGAACTATAGTGGCGGCCTGAAACGCAAAGCTATCTCAAATAGACTCTAAATGATAAGTTATGCACCCGTAAAGTAAATATAATTAGCATAAAGAGCATAGAAAGGATGGGTGAAAAAGGTTAAGGGGTAAACTAAAGGTACTTGGCGAGATAAAGTGAAATGATCGGATTTTTCTTTTGAACTTTATTTTCTTTTTTCTAACCTTTGTATGCCTTTAGTTTCAAAATTAGTATCCACTTTAAAGAAGTTTTCTAGAATGACTTCGGAATATAGTTTAGTAAGATAGTCTTTTCTTAAAATTCCATTTTCTGTCAGAGATTTACTATCATATTAGATTTGTTGCAATTATGATATAACAAAAATCAGAAGTGTCATTTTCATACAAAGCTTATGTATTTACATAACTCACATGTAAACTTTCATATTTACACACTTAGATGTCACATATTTAATATCACATAAAGCACTATCACCACTTTTTAAAAGTAAATGTATTACACCATTTTATGCATAGATTTCAAACACCAAAATTTTATTTATGTAAATATGATAGTTTAGGTGATATCCTTAATGTCACTTAAAGGAAAAATTATCACAATCTAACCTAGGAAAAATTTTTGTATACATACGGTGTCCGATCCTGACCGTAGATCACGATGATCTAGGGTCAGCGGTGGGCCCCACCTAAATTTAAAAAAAAAAAAGGTAAGTGGGAATCACCGAAATACATTCTCACCGTAGATCACCGTGATCTACGGTCAGGATCGGACACCGCATGTATCTCTGCATGCTGTGTCCGTATACAATAATTTTTCCACTTAATCTGCATGCGGTGTCCGTATACAATAATTTTTCCACTTAAAGGGCATGTTTGGTAGCACACTTTTAACAAGATTTATATTAATATTTGACATAAATCCTGCCAAACGCAAATAACAAGTTAAATCCAAAACTTCGCTAAATCTATGTTCTTCTACTCTTTAACGTAAATCCCGATTTTCTTAAAACTGATGCATAGGTGGATTTAACGGATTTGATGAAAATTTTTCTCATATGAAGGGTTTTAACTATATTTAACTTAAATAATATCAAACATCTTCGTGGATTTAACTCTTCTGGATTTAATAAATCTGAATTTACAGGATTCGTGAAATTAAAAAAAATGGTACTATTATCATTTTCTAAAAGTGAATTACACATTTGCATATATAGGTTTAAAGCACCAAAATCTATGGTATGTAAATATGATAGTTTAGCGGTGTGATGTGTAAATACATAAGAAATGTGTGCAACATAAGCAAATCAGAATCTTATGCATGTAAATATGATAGTTTAGCTGTGAGATGTGTAAATACATATGCAAATTTCCCACTTTGTTAAAGTGAAGTGCACATCTTCATACAAAGGTTTATAGCACCAAAATCTTATATATGCAAATATGATTGCTTAGGGGTGAGATGTGTAAATACATAAGAATTGTGTGCTGCATATGCAAATTTCCCAATTCAGAATTCTTCTCAGTTTATATCTTCCCATTCCAGAATGTCGAAGCCAGGCTGCGTCTTCGCGCAGCAGGCGAGTTACATAACCGCAAACAAAAGAACCAGGTAAAGCTCGACGCCAACTTCTGCAAGATCCAAGATGCTCTTCATCACATCAATGGCTACCGCGCAACATGCGAAATGCGCGGCTTAGGTTACTACGACGCATTCAAGCTGCACCGAGATCCCGACGACTTCGCCGCCAATGTGAAGAGACTGGAACTCGCCGGCCTCTGGGACGAGATTCTCGACATGCTCAGACGATCTGATCTTCCAGACGAATTCGAAAGTCGCTCGGAGTGGGTGAGCCTGGGAACCACTTACAGGAACCTCGTCGAACCCTTGGATATCGCCAATTACTACAGGCATGCGAAGAACGAAGATACGGGACCCTATGTGGAAAATGGACGTCCGAAGCGCTACAGATGCGTGCAGAGGTGGGTCGAACAGTATCAGAGAATGGCGGCGGGGGAGAGCTCCGAAAGTTGTTTCTGGGCTAGGGTTGAGGATCTGTGCAGTGATGGGAATAATGGTGGAGGATACGAAGTGGTTGAAGAGAAGGTGGTGGAGCTGGAAAGGGAGGTGCTGAAGTGGATGAGTGAGGATAGATTGGGTAGAGATGTTTTGGTTCATGGCTCCAGTTTTGTTCAATGGTGGAAGAATTTCTTGCCTGAGCAGCATCAGTTGGACTCATGCATTGCTGGGTTGATGAGATGCCATGAGAAGCCGTGCAAATGATTCTCTGCGTGGATTGAATTTGATCTGTGAGTATGTTTATGATAGAGTAAAGTGTCGAAATAGTTTCTTGATTATTTACATGAGCAAATATTACATCCGATCAATCAAACGTGCGGATCGCGGTGTAAATCGCACTATGCCGTGTGTTGGCGTGGTGCGATCCATGTCATCGTCAGCATGTCCGTCATCCGTCTGGACTCGTAATATTTTGTTGTTTACATGGGGTTTTTTTAGTCTCAGAGTCCGTAAAAGCATCGAAGTAGTTTGTACTCTTTTAATATCAGCCGTAGTAGTCCCAAAAAGGATTACTTTAACCCCATAAAGAAGTCTGGGACTAAAATGATGTTTTTTTTTAGACTCTGAGACAAAACTGCAAAAAATTAGGGGATTATTTTGCCATTTTTTTCATCTAAGATATAAGGAAGATTTATATGCTTACGATCAAATTCTTGTGTGTTTACATATCTAACACTTAAAACTTCAATTTTTATGACCTTATTTATGCATAAAAAAGTTGTATTTCGCCCTTTCTTAGAAGTTAAAAGGATGGTATTTTTGATGTGATATGAAAGATTTGGATGGTTTAAATGTAAAAGATGAAAGTATAGATGTTAGATATGTAAATAGATACGAATGGGTGGTATGTATGTAAATGCCTACATAGATTTTAGTGGCTTTGTATAGTTTTGTGGTTTAGTTGTGCTTTACTTAATTTATGTGCATATATATATATTGAAGTCTCTTTTTCTAATAAAAAGATATAGTGGGGCAATATTTCCTTGTTATAGTTATAATCGCTCTTCTCTTGATGGCCCCGTTTTCTTGTTTTGGTTTCCATATTATGTTTCTTGCAAAAGAGTACTATGACTATAGTAGTAATGTGCTAAAATAGTCCTTAATACTCTTTGCATGAGATTATGTTAATCCGAGAGTTTGTTAAATGTCAAATTAGTCCTCAAATTCTTTAAATTTGGGTTGAAAAGTACTCTGTGAAGAGTATTTTAGCCCATTTTAAAAGTGTCTAGGGACTGAATTTGCAATTTTATAGGCTTTGGGACTGAAATAATCTCCTGTAGACCGGTTCATACATTTTACTTGTCCAATTCATTATAATCAAGGTTGAGTCAGAATATTATGGCACAATTTTTTTTTTAATGCAAATGCGTTGAGCTTAGTGGGATAAAGGCTTGTTATTGTTATTGTTGTTCTATAAAATTGTTGAGCTCTTTTCATTGTAAGTCTTCTTCCGAGTCTTGTACTGTAAGGTCATGTCGATTGTGATTGTCATTGACCTCGATGGCTTAGATCATGTCCGATTGGTGCATTATTTACACGATGTAGATCTAGAGCAACGATTGGTTTTGTTGCCCGTGATCATTCTGGTCCACCTTTGTGCTTGTTTTTGCATTTTGTGAGTGTTGAGTGTTGTCGTGTTCGTCATCATGTTTGGGAAGGCATGTGATGAGTGCGACTGTGATTCTCCGACCTTTTTATGTGGATTTGTGTTTGAAGTCTCATTTGCATTGAATTTTTGCTAATGTAGAAAATTTTCATCGAAACTTAGTTTCGCAAAACGGATTGCACGAGCGTTTCTGAATCACAGAGACAATTTTGATGAGCCTATTCGTGTTTAGGTTGGGACTCGTTTGACATGCACCAAGGGAATATTAGTTAAATATTTTATGAACTATATATATATAAACTATAGAGCTTCAAATGTACACGGTCGCTCTAACCAACATCTTCAAATGAAATCATACGGCCTGAAAATTCTTTCTAACCGTATCATTGCACCTTCTAGCCATATCGTCATGCTCACATAGAAGATATAAAATGTAACTATTGGTGCGTCTTCATAGATCCATTGGAAAAATGGACAATCACCAAATATTCGATTTTTCAAGGAACAATCAAACATTCTTCCTTTTTTTTTACCCTGTTTAGTTGTATGTATGTAACGCATGACAATCAGCATGCACAATAAACTTGGGCATTTCGGTGTGCGCCCGACATCGCAGCAGAATGACTAGAACTCATTTCTTTAAACACAACAAATGACGCTCAGAAAGATTAGTCAACACATTAAGAAGATAAATGGTAAGTTTAAAAACACTACTATTTAACTTTTTTAAAAAAGAAAAATTTAGATGTTGGATGTGTAGATTCGTTAAGAATTGGGTGGCACGTATGTAAATGCCCTCAACTTATAAGAGAAGATTTTCTATACCCATGGTAAGAATTTCACTGTGAAGACTCTGACCACACGAAAGACTTCATGAAATTTTTTCATACGAAGTACGTACGTAGCTTTGAGTGCGGACTTTCAGTAATATTCCGCCACGTGGAGGTTATTGTGTGACTATTGACGTGAAACCGTGAAGGTTATCGGGGGGTTATTGCGTGTGTTAATGTAATGGGTTATTGAAATGGAATCACAGAGGTTATTGGAGTGGAACCGCAGATGTTATGCCTCAATAACCCCTCAATAATCCCTCAACAACCCTCACAAATAACCTCCACAGTTTCACTTTAATTTTTTTTTTAGCTGGGTCCAATATAACCTACATGGTGACATATTACTGGCTGACCACTGGCTGACTAAGAAGAACATAAAATTGATTATGGATAATTGCATTGAGACTGCACTTACTTTCAATACATTTTTTTCCCAAAAAATCTCGCCTTTAACAAAACAAACCCTAAAAAAATCCATTTTTATTTCAACAAAAAACAATGTTTACTTCTCAAAAATCGCTAAACCAGGGAGCAATCTCTTCAATCCATTTTCACGAAACCCTAAACAAAAACGTCTAATTTTTTTGTGGGGACTCTTGACGCAGCTCTATGTGCAGCGGAGGTTATCCTGAGTTATTTTCAGGTTATTTCTGGGTTATTTTTAATAATCCCGAAATAATTTAAAAATAACCCGCGGTTTCGGTTTTTATTTTTTGATTATTTCAGGATTATTGAAAATAACTCAGAAATAACCTGAAAATAACTCAAGAATAAAATCCGCCGCACCTAGAGCTATGTCAACACAAATGCCCTCAACTTATAAGAGAAGATTTTCTATACCAATGGTAAGAATTTCACTGTGAAGACTCTGGCCACACAAAAGACTTCATGAAATTTTTTCATACGGAGTACGTACGTAGCTCTGAGTGCGGATTTTCAGTAATATTCTGCCACGTGGAGGTTATTGTGTGACTATTGACGTGAAACCGTGAAGGTTATCGGGGGGTTATTGCGTGTGTTAATGTAATGGGTTATTGAAATGGAATTACAGAGGTTATTGGAGTGGAACCGCAGATGTTATGCCTCAATAACCTCTCAATAATCCCTCAACAATCCTCACAAATAACCTCCGCAGTTTCACTTTAATTTTTTTTAGCTGGGCCCGATATAACCCACATAGTGACATATTACTGGCTGACTAAGAAGAACATAAAATTGATTATGGATAATTGCATTGAGACTGCACTTACTTTCAATACATTTTTTTCCCAAAAAATCTCGCCTTTAACAAAACAAACCCTAAAAAAATCCATTTTTATTTCAACAAAAAACAATGTTTACTTCTCAAAAATTGCTAAATCAGGGAGTAATCTCTTCAATCCATTTCCACGAAACCCTAAACAAAAACGTCTAATTTTTCTGTGGGGACTCTTGACGCAGCTCTATGTGCAGCGGAGGTTATCCTGAGTTATTTTCAGGTTATTTCTGGGTTATTTTCAATAATCCCGAAATAATTCAAAAAAAAACTCGCGGTTTTTATTTTTTGATTATTTCAAAATTATTGAAAATAACTCAGAAATAACCTGAAAATAACTCAAGAATAAAATCCGTCGCACCTAGAGCTACTTCAACACAACTGAATGAGGGTTCTAACATCATGTAAAATGAACGAAGCTTTGATCGAAGCACCGCAGAGAATGGAGTGGAGGCAGGAGGCGGGAAGAAGGATTGGCGCGGGCCGGAGGCAGGAGAAGAGGACGCCGGAAGTGCAGACGGTGGAGCGCCGCGGTGGTTGCAGTCGAACGGAGACGTCATCGCGGGTGGCGGCTTCGAACGGGAGCGGGACGGGAGCCAACTATTCTGAAATATTTATTTTATTATTATTAAGTGAGTGGGTTCATTTCCCACGGCATTTCAAAATCCACCGCCCGCCCTACAATCTCCAAAACCCTAAACCCCATGCTCTCTCCCTCCCTTGACAATGGAGGAAGAAGATGATCTCTGGAAGCAATTCCTCGAACAAGACGACGACGTTGACGACCTCACCGTCCCCTCTCAGGTCCTCTCCGATTCCTACCTGATCGGCTTCGTGATCGCCAACATCGTCGGCCTCCGGTACTACTCCGGCACCATCAATGGCCGCGAGCTCGTGGGTCTCGTCCGGGAACCCCTAAACCCTTACGATTCCAACGCCATCAAGGTTCTCAACACCCGCACCGTTCAAGTCGGCCACATCGAGCGCACTGTTGCCGCCGTTCTCGCCCCTCTCCTCGACGCGCACATCATCTCCGCCGTTGAGGCCATCGTTCCCAAGCCCCCGCGTAACGGCAGAAACCCTTACCGTCTTCCCTGTCAAATCCACATATTCGCTCTCCCCAACGCCATACCTACTGTTCAATGCGCTATTGAGGATGGCGGTCTTCATCTTTTCACTCCCGATGACCACGAGTTCACCCTCTCTGAGTCTGCCATTGTTAAGGAGTCCGCATATAGCAACGCTTCCAAGGAGCGGAGAAGGATTGATGAGATATTTGCACTTGTGGGGAAGGAGAGGAAGGGGATTGAGCGTCTTGAGCCTCCGAAGGATGTGATATTAACGGAGTTGTTCGATCACCAGAAGGAAGGGCTGGGGTGGTTGGTGCACAGGGAGAATTCAAAGGATCTGCCATTGTTTTGGAAGGAGAAGAATGGGGGTTTTCTGAATGTGTTGACAAATCACTTAACGAATGAGCGGCCAGAGCCTCTTAGGGGTGGAATGTTCGCTGATGACATGGGATTGGGTAAAACCCTCACTCTGTTATCCTTGATTGCTTCTGCTAAAGCGGGTGCTAGTGTTTCTTATGCCATGGTAGATGATGTTGGAACATCTTCTGGTACGAGGAAGCGCAGGTCTGGTAACAAAAGGGCCGTGGGTTCTAGGAAGAAATTGAAAGCTGATGTTGACGAGCTTTTGGGCACCAAAACAACATTAGTTGTTTGCCCATCATCGGTACTTACGACATGGATAACTCAACTGGAGCAGCACACTAGAGCTGGTAGCTTACAGGTGTATTTGTACCATGGGGAGCGCATAAAGGAGGTGAAGTTTCTCCTGAGACATGATATTTTGCTGACAACTTACAAAACTTTAGCTTTGGAGTTTAGCTCCCCACAGTCCCCGCTTAAGGAGATAGAGTGGGCGAGAGTTATTTTGGATGAGGCCCATGTTATTAAGAATTTTGGATCACAACAAACTAAAGCAGTTGTTGAGTTGAAGGCGCAGAGGAGGTGGGTGGTAACAGGAACTCCAATACAGAATAGTTCCTTTGATTTGTTTTCTCTTATGGCCTTCTTAAGATTTCAGCCATTCTCAATTAAGAGCTATTGGCAGAGTCTTATCCAACGACCGCTGGATCAAGGGTGCAATAGTGGAATATCACGCTTGCAGGTATGAGAACTTTGATCATCAGCTGTTCTTTCAGTGTTTCTTTTTTTCTTCTTCTTATTCTTCTCTCTTTTTGATATAATCTGGTGGTTAACCGGAGAAACAACTAATGGATTACCCAATGTCTATGTGGAACACAGAAATTGATTTCATGTTACTAGCAATAATGCCAGAAATGGCGTGCTTCATTTGTTTTACCAATCTGTCTTTCTTAGTGTTATGCCTATATATACTTGGATTTCAATGTCTAATATTGCAGCTGTCAGCGACCAGAGGATTTTGGTTCCAAATAGTTTGGATAATGTTAATGATGATGAAGGCATGTATTGATTTCCATAAAAAAAAACCAAAATCCACTTGAAGCACACTTTTTTTTGATAGGCCTGATTAGTACATGAATTAGTTTTTGCTTTGGCCTCCCATGGAAGGTTTCCTATTTAGAGTAGTATCTTCTCACGTTAGGTGGATGATGTTTAGACATGAGAGTGTATTTGGATTTGATCCCACATAGGATAATTGAGAACTGTATTGATTTAGAAATATTAAATAGTTGATCGTCGCCTATAGGCATGGGTTTCTGGAATACAGGTTGGATCAAGGTTTTGAAAATAAAATCGAACATAAACGGAAAGAAGTATAGGTTCATGGTTCAAAGATTCAATTGATATTGAATTAAGGTTGAATCTCATGATTTAATAAGCTTTAAAATTATTTTAATATGATTTAAAGGATATAATGATGATGGAATAATATTTTCACCAATTTAAAATACAATAAATTAAATCAAGATACTTTGTCATTAAATATTTTGAAGATGTCTCTAAATCATACTTTTGGGACATGATATTTTAAATATTTCATCTATATATAGTTATAGATTTATACAAATACTTGCAAAAATATATGAACACTTGCACTAGATTGGAATGTTAATATCAACTAAAATTAAAGCAATTTCACCAATTAGTTTTATAATGAAATGTTTTATTTTTAGCTATCAGATCAAAATTAAAGAGCCATAAATTGATCAATATTAAAATCAAACTGATTAATTGGTTCCTCTGGTAAACTAAATGTTTAGATTATGTTGTGAAAAATAATTTTGGAACTAGACTAAACCAGTTGAAGGTAGGGGAGTGAAGCTTGAGCGAGCATTTTTTTTTTTCATGTTCAACTCCCTCGAAAATTTTTAGCTCAAAAGAAGCTTGTATTCGAAATGACTTTTGAATAACATGTTCGTGTTTGACTCAATTTGAATTTGTTTGTTCGCTTCAGCTTGTTTTAAGCTCAAAATTAGGATGAATTATTTAAAAATTAATAGAGTTTAACATTTATAAATACAAAAAAAATATAATATAAAAATATTATAACAATATTATTTAATTAATTTGAGCTAAAATGAGCGAAACACAATCGAACAAAGTTTGTTCGTATTCAACTTGTTTATAAATTGAGCTTAAAAAAATTATTTATGTTTAAATCGTTTACTTAGCAAATAAATCGAATAAGATCTATTTAGCAAACCAAACACGGAGCTATTCATGAACAATGAGCTTTTTTGATAGCCCTACTCGGAGGATCAGTTCATAATTGAACCAGTCAGATCGGCTAGTTCGTTATGGTATTTAAAACCAGTGGGCTTGATCATTAGTTTATCTAGCTCAACTTTGATCACCTTTTGGTTTATCATCCTTGCAGATGATCTTACCATCTTTTAGCTATTCGGGTGATAGGCACAACAAGCACAACAAAGTTGAGATAAAGCCAATGATGATAAGGAGGATTGAGAGCCCTAGTTTTATTGGTGTTCCCTGTGTTGTATTATACTGTGATTTCAGTTCATGGACTACTTGTCATGCAATTTAAAAGATTAAGAATGGCATTACCTTCATTAACTTAAGGTCCTCGCACTTCGGTAGAAAATCTGGATAAAATTAATTATTCTTCCAAACATGGCAAACGATCTTGTGAAGCTAGCTGCTTCACTTTATCAGGTTAAAGATACCCTGTAGTTTTTTCTTTTTTTTTTAATTCCCCTGGAGGGGACAACTGTCATGATTTTGGGAGTTTTTTTTTAATATTTTTGTGGACTGAATTTGAGAATTTAATTGGGGTTTATAGTTGAGGTAATTGATTATTGGGATGGCTTGTTTGTAATTTTATACGTTTCACTAAGGCATGTGAACAGGAAGAAAGCTTAATTTTTGTACTGATAAATAGGTAAAAGCATTGTAAAACAAAAGGGGGTATTTGCATACATACCACAAAGTTCTTTATTTACATATCTAACGCCTAAACATGCATATTTGCATGCATGTCACTCAAATATTTAACATCATATCATAAATACCATCACTATCTTTTTTAAAGTGAAATACACATTTTTATGCATAAGTTTATAACACCAAGGTGTTATAATTGTAAATATTGAAATTTGGCTGTTAGATTTGTAAATACATAAGAATCGTATGGTATATATGTAAATTTCCCCAACAAAAATGCCCGACTTACTTGTGGTCATCTATAGTTCAATATTAGCTTTGGAATGTTTTTAATGAAAATTATGGTAAATATTGTTTTCGAAAAATTCTTGTACCATCCAATCAAAGTAGGGGAATGTAGTTTTACCTGTCCTAAGCTGGAACATTGGAAAATGCGGTATCTTCCTATATTATCTTAAGCGCAGGTGAGAGGACAAAGAACTAGATTTAAAGTAACCTAATTTTAGGTAGAACATGGTTACCTTTGCTTTATTTTGGGTTATGTTAAGATAGCATTCTTTCGAAAAATCAGGTGATGCCAGGATGGTAAACCATGGTCAGGTAAGAAAAATATACACCTCATGTCAAAAGAACTATATGTGAATGTACATCAGTATCTATCTTTTGCATTTTTATAACAACTAAAGCTGTTTTAAGCTAAATCATGAGTATAATGCATTGGGAGTAGAGGTGTAACTGAGCCAAGCCAACTCGTGCGCCGGCTTGGGCTCGGCTCATGAGCTGAGCTAGATGCTAACGAGCTAAAGCTCAAGCTTGCCCCGATTCAATTCGTTTGCTCGTGATCTCACTCATTTAAAAAATAATTAATAGAAAATATATTCAAAATATATTAAAATTCAAGATTTTATTTTTTACATCATTAAAAACATTAAAAATGTGATATTTTACATTTTTTATCAAGTGGTTTCCTATTGTTGTCATCTAATTTTTCTTTCTGTTTATAATTTTATTATAACACTAGTTTAAGTTAATATTATTTTTTCTCTTTCACAATAAACAAGCTGGCTTGTGGGGGGCTCGAACTCATAGCATTAAGACCAAGCTCGTATCCGATTAATTACAAGCTCATTCTTAAGTCAAGGGTCACTCGAACTTGACTTGACTCTTTGCACCGCTAGTTGGGAATTTCTTGTTTGTGTTATACTCTTAGAAAGAGTGGAATTCAAGGAAGAAGGTGTGATAGGATTTGTATTCATGTCACTTTGAGATATTGCTTATATTTGTTCCGAAACGATTCAAAACTAGAAACTAGATAGAACAAGATGCGCAGTATAACCAGTTTAACTTAATCAGACTAATTTCATATCTTCTCTGCCATTAATCAATAGAAGTTTCAATTTTCTACCTGGATGATCAGACTGTCGAACTTTGTTGGACCCTGGGGCTTGTTACTTTAGATAGTGATGCAAGTAAATACCACCCAAATCTTTCATATCACAAAAAAATACCACTATTTTTAAACTTTTAAAATATAAAATACCATTTTCATGCATACGTAAAGTGGAATGTAAAATTAAATTTTAGGTGTTAGATATGTAAATAGATAGGAATTGAGTGGTGTTATGCAAATCTTCCTAAAATTTTCCTCGTTTTTTTAAGGTAGTTTAGAATAAAGATTGCCTTTTAACCAATATAATTTTATGCATCTCTTCATTTTTTTTTTAGGCCTTGATGGCCGGCATTTCTTTGAGGAGAATGAAAGGAACAAATAATGGAAGTGACAGCTTAGTTCTACTGCCACCAAAAACTGTTGAAACTTATCTTGTGGAACTCACTTCCGAAGAACGAGAGCAATACGAGAAGATGGAATCAGAGGCGAAAAGTACACTGAAGGAGTATATCAATGATGACGCCGTATTGCGCAATTATTCTACTGTACTGCACATTATATTGAGGCTTCGGCAGATCTGTAATAATGTGGCATTGTGCCCCTCAGACCTCAAATCACTACTCTCATCTAACAGTCTTGAAGGTATGACATTTACCCTTAAAAAAAAAGAAAATTTACTTTTATCGTTGATTATTATGTGTTTTATATTTAATGGGGATACCTTCTCTCTGTTTGATTTGTTTATTATAAACAAATGAAGCCTATGAACAGTTGCTAGACAGTTCCTTTTGGAAATTTACAAAGGCAGTACGCTGATCTTATGTATTTACACATCTCACCTCTAAGCTTTCATATATACATACACATCACTTTGGTGTTTTATACCTATGCATGAAAAGGTGCATTTCACTTTTAAAATGTGGTAGTGTTGCCTTTTTAATGTGATATTATAGATTTAATTATGTGTGTAAATATAAAAGTTTAGGTGTATGGCATGTAAATACATAGGAATTTTGTGCTATGTTTATAAATTCCTCTATATTTTAAATTATTTTTATTAAAATTGAAATTTGAGTATGTTGTTATGTTTTCATTGAGATAAAAGAATGGTTTAAACATACATCAAATACCGTTTGACACACCGGACATTAAGATACATAATGTATGATTTTTTTTCTTAATATATGAGTTATTAAAACAAATGAAATTATATTACAATTACGATATAGTTTTCTTTTATTCATCATATCATCACCACATCGTCATATCATCAAATCATCACATAATCATCATCATTATAAACATCATCATGAATAGGATCAAAACTCATCTATTTTATTTATTTATTTTTTCAATATTTATAATTTTGTATAAAATGATTCTTAATTATTTGGACTTAAATATTTCTTTTTTTCCATTAAAAAGTCTTGATTTTGTCTTTTAAGATAGCGAAGAATTATGGCTACATATATTTAAAAATACATTTTCAAACATTAAGCCTTTCTTTTTTTTATTTTTATGATAGGTCTTAGATGAAGAAAATAAACAAAAATATTTTGCAGTTAATTTTGACCTGTAAAAGTTTGTGGTAAATGTACAATGGTTGATTGTTTCATTGAAAGTGTATTTAAAAATAAAAAAGATTGGAATTTTGAAATCAATGATTTGGATTCTTCATTAGCATGAGTTTTTAAAGTTAAGGGAATTAAAATTTATTTTATTTTATATTTTTGATTTCTTTGATTGGAAATTGTTGAACTTTTGGTCCAATCATAACAAAGAATTGAAGGCACACAGATCAAGATTTGTATCATTGGAACTGTTTATTTACAACCTTTTGGTAACAAAGGACTTTAGGCATATGGATTAGGGCTCTGTATTGCTGGATCAAGACATACCGATCGAAACTCTAATTTGCTAGATCTGCCTTTCTACGACCCTCAGATTGTAATCCTTATGCTTTTTTTATAGAATCGCCAATCCTTAATTTTTTTTTTCACTCATTGCTTTGATTTATTCATATTTTGTAATGCTTTTAAGAGTTTTATATATATCTCCTTTTTTGTACAAAAGAGGTGGACGAAATTTTTGAGGGTTTTTTTCATTAGTTATTTGTACATAGTATTAGAGCAAGGCTAGGGTGTTCCTTTCAACATTTGTTCTTATTAGTTGAGATTAGAGTTTTTACTTCCAACTTTTATTATTATTCTTTAAGGTTATGGTTTTCAATTTCAACTTTATCCCTCTTGTCGAATTCTTCTTTTTCCCACGGTGCCTGGATTTTTTTGCTTCTCTTCAAACGAGTCAATCGTGATTAATGGTGAAAATAATACCAAAGAAAAATGTCAAATATTTCAAGTATCTTATTGCTTGAATTGAAGAAATTGCCTTCAATGAACCCAAATTGTAAAAGCCTTTTTAAAGAGAAAGAAAAAGATCCAACATCTTGTGGATTTACTTATGGAGCCTAGAAACCCAAAGTTTTTACTTTGGGAAGAAATTGATTCGATTATCATGACATGATTGTTGAACATCATGCTAGCTGAGATTAGTAGACCTTTTATGTTTTTCTCCACCTCAAAAGAGGTTAGGGATGCAGTTACACAAACCTATTTAAAGGTGAATGATGATATGCCCATCTAATCAAGATAAAGCTCGTCACTACCAAATAAGGTAAAGTTCCTATCATCAAATACTTTTACACAATGAAGATTTATTGGTTAGAGCTGGACTACAACCAAGATCTTAAGATGTCCTGCTGTGAGGATGCATCGATCCTTACAAAATTCGAGCGATAGAGGATCTTTGAGTTTTTGGCAGGACTCAAGAACGAGTGAATATAAGAAGGATATATATAAATTTTTATTATAATTGCATATCTGATGCATGTCTGTGTCATATATTTTTACTAATATAAGTAACCCGTGTCCGTTGTCGTGTCCCCGTATCGGCATCCATGCAACATAGAGGTGAAGATAGCAGAGAATATACATTCTTCATAGAATAAAATCTGTGAATTTACAATCTCTTTAAATTGCTAATCCTAATCTCTTCTTGCAATATTACAATGTTTTATTGCTTTATTTTTCTTGCATCATTTTGCCTTCAGTAATTGGGCTTCTAGTTCAGGAATTCTCATCAAATTTTGATCAGAATGAGTTTCAAAACCCTTTAGATTTATCTTGAGATGAGTGAAATCTATGCTTGATTGATTTCCCATATGTTGCACTTATCTCAACGCAAATCCAAGAATTTTAAAATCCATCTTGATCATCTTTTGACGAGAGTATTCTCTGTTTTTTTTTTCCTTCTAGTACAATACTTCTAATCAATTGATAATTGTGTTACGCCTTATTACTCTCTTTTTTTCCCCTCAAATTGTAGATGTTTCCAAAAACCCAGAGCTGCTGAAGAAACTGACCTTAATGTTAGCAGATGGAGATGATTTTGACTGCCCTGTTTGCCTTTCACCCCCCAAAAAAACCATTATTACATGCTGTGCCCATATCTTCTGCCAAACCTGCATACTGAAAGCCCTCAAAACTCTCAATCCTCGCTGCCCGTTATGCCGGGAACCCTTATCCGAAACCAAACTTTTCTTAGCTCCGCCGCCAAAACCATCCGACGAGAATCCCACAACAAACTTCTCAGGCTCGCCCATCTCATCCAAAGCATCGGCATTGCTGAACCTCCTCCATGAATCCAAGAAGCAAAATGAATCAACGAAATCCGTTGTCTTCTCGCAATTCCGAAAGATGCTGATCTTGTTAGAAGAGCCATTAAAGGCCGCCGGTTTTGGCATCCTACGTTTAGATGGCTCGATGAGCACAAAAAAGAGGGCGGCGGTGATCAAGGAGTTTGGGTCGGATCAACCGAATGCTCCAACAGTCTTGTTAGCCAGCCTCAAAGCCGCCGGTGCAGGACTAAATCTCTCGGCGGCGTCGAGAGTCTATTTGGTGGAGCCATGGTGGAACCCGGCAGCGGAGGAGCAGGCGATGGATAGGGTTCATAGAATTGGGCAGAAGGAAGAGGTGAAGGTTGTGAGGCTGATTGTGAAGGATAGTATTGAGGAAAGGATTTTGGTGATACAGGAGAGGAAGAAGAAGCTCGCCGGAGGTCTGTTTGGGAAGAAAGCTGCCAAGCTGCAGAGGGAAATGCGTGTTGATGATATTCACGCCATGCTTCGCCTGTAAGTTCTTGCGAAATTTACATTCCTACCACACAATTCTTATGTATTTTTACATATCTCACACCTAAACTTTTGTAGTTACACATATACATATATTAGTGCTAATGCTATATGTACATTTATATGATAGTTTAGGTGTGAGGTATGCATGCATAAGAATTTTGTGCTATTTAGATAAATGCCCCTGATTTTTGGAAGAAAGCTTGATCCCCTTTTTTTTGGCTGGTTTTGGTATTTTGTGCATCTAAATGTTAGTATTATTTATATGTTAATGCTGCAAATTTGGAGAGGATTAGTTTTTTTCTGGAAAATTTACATGAACGCCACTCAATTCTTATGTATTTACATATCTTACCCTTAATCATGAATTTTTACATATATGCCACCTTAACTATGCATGGAAGGTTGTATTTCATGTAGTGATGAAATGATGTTTTTGATGTGATATGAATTGAATGATTTGGGTGGTATAAATGTTAAAAAGAAGAAGAAGGAGAAGCAAAGTTTAGGGGTTAGATACATAAATAGATGGGAATTGGATGGTATATATGTAAATGCCTCTAGGATTGTTCTTCTGGCTTTATTTTCAGAGAAGCAGCAGGTAGTGCTATTGGTGTCTTTTATTTATTTTAGTATTGAAATGTTTGGGTGGGATGTATCGATTAATTAATTCCTATTTTGTTGCATCAATCTCAAAACAAATTTAAGGGCTACAAAAATTGTCATGATTAAATTTTTTATTTGGATATTCTCCGGTCGTTTTTTTTTTTTTTGTTTTTTGGAAAAAAATATTACATTAGGACTCTGCACGTAGAGTTATGTACAGAGTCTAATGAAATCACGTCACACGTAGAGGAAAAAAAAAAAAAAACAGCCCGGTGACGGGAATATTCCCCGTGTTATTCATGTGTTGTTGTATGTTATTCAAGTGTTATTGTGTTATTATAATATCAGTAATATTCCCAGAACATAATAACACTTGAATAAAATAAAATAACACTTGAATAACACGGGGATAATATTCCCTTGTGTTATTATGTTTTGTGATTTCATTGGACTCTGCACGTAACTCTACGTGTGGAGTTCTGAGCGGAGAATAATTAAATTTTGGGAACTTTACATGCATACCACACAATTCTTATGTATTTATATAGCTAACACCTAAATTTTGATATTTATAGTTATAACATTTTGTGACGAACATACGCTTGCAAAGATGTATTTCGCTTTAGAAGTTAAAAACAGTGGCATTTTTTTAGGTACTATAAAAAATTTGATGTAAAAAACATAAATACATGAGAAATGTGTGATATGTTTGTAAATTATTATTATTATTATTAGATATTTACATACCGATCAACCGAAACAGCGATATTTACAAATCAAGCATCCGCGTGCATCAGCCCAACCGAAACAGCGATATTTACAAATCAAGCATCCGCGTGCATCAGCGTGAGATGCATTATTTGATAAAAATGAAAAATACAGGATGAGACTTTTTCATGATTAGGGGGAATATGAAAAAGAAAAAAGAAAGGAAAATGGTTGTTTTGTAAACAATCGGAAAAAGGAGCCATTTATATATAGGACCACCCAATTGGTATGTATTTACATCTCTAACCCTTAAAGTTTACTTTTTTTTACATTTATGCAAATCAAATCTTTCCTATCACATCAAAACAATCATCCTTTTAAATAATACAAAGCATGAAAAAATATGAAATAATAGTCAAATGTGCTCTAAGGAGGTATTGGATTATGTGAATTTAGATAATAATAAGGGATTTGCATAAATATCATATAATTCATATGTAATTACATATCTAAAATCTGAACATTACTTTTTCACATTTATACCTAATTTACTGGACTTTTTAAGATAAATGAAAAAAAAAAATACCTACTACTTTCAAACACACTACTTTTGTGACAATAACTATAGTACTATGAAAAGGAGTGATCCCAAGAAACTCAACTTATCTGCTACATAGTGGTTGAGGGTTTAGCTTTCAACATTAAAGTTGTGAGTTTGAATAGTGCATACTGTCTTTTTGGACCAAATCTCAAGGGGTCCAAATCTAGTTAAAAAGTAACATTTCTATCCAATTAGAAAATAAAAGTTTAATATTACAGGTTCATAAATATCAAATGGGGGTTAATTTATAAATATCAGTGTTTCAGGTGATTTGTATGTAAATATCCCTTCTAGTAACATTATAAAGGCCCTTGTATTGAGTAAACAAAAAGTTCCCTTGTGAATCAGGAGAAAATATTACATCAGAAGTCCTGATGTAGTTTCAAGTGTGGATGATAGTATTTAAGTGCTATTAGAACTATTGTGATGTTATTTTACCAAAATAAAACTATAATACTATCAATAACACCTCAAATAACATTATCTGCACCTAGCCTGGATGTAAGTTATCCGAATATATTATTTTTCGTGAATCAGACACCATCAACTATTCTAGCTTAAAAGACGAAAAAAAAAACGAAAAATTTAATTAGTGCCTATAATTAAAAAAAAAAAGAATAAAAATTTATTTCTTCTATTGGTGTACATACAAAATAATGATAGAAAGAAATGGAGTATATGACATTCCAAAAAAAAAGCATTTTTTACAAAATAAAACTAACTTCTTCCTCAAATTGAATAATAAAGGTTATAAGAAGTGGGATAATTACATATAGACAACCTGAAACATTGATATTTACAAACTAACTGACCAATTGATTTTTTTTTTGAACTATCGTGTGCCATAATTAAACTATTGGGAATTCGATAAAAATAAAGGGCTTTATTATGGCCTTTGATATTTGAGTGAGAATTCGAGAGATGGATAAAACAGGACGGTAGATTTGTAAATAGCAAGTTTCGGGTGCTCTATTTATGTAATTGCCCAAAAAATAAAATTGAATAAATGCGATAAGAAGAAAAAGTGCAGTTAGATAAAAATATAAAACCAAAGAAAACTTATGAATGAAGCAATTAAAAATTTTGCAAAAAAGGAAATTTTCAATATTAGTCTTCCAAACATTAAACAAGAAAAAGCTCATGCAGCATGAATTAATTAAGGCATGTCTACATAAATACATGATTCTTATGTATTTATATATCTAACATCCAAACTTTGCTCTTTTACATTTATACCTCCTAAGTCTTTAATATCAGATAAGAAATACCACTATGTTAACTTTTAAAAAGTTCGCTACAATTTCTCATGCACGGGTAGAGCGGCATATATGTAAAAATAGAAAAGTTCAGGTGTTAGACATGCAAATACATAAGAATTGAGTGGGCTGCATGTAAATCTTCCATGAATAAAATGATGGATTAATGAAATCGACAGTGAGTAATTAGGATAAAACAGATAATAAAAAGGACGAATTTTTATAGTTAAAACCACAAGAGAGAAAATTATGATAAACAAACTCAGCATAAAAGTGCAAAATTCTATCAAAAATTAAATCCACTTTTAAATAACACAGCTTGCATGAAAAATTAAACAGCTTGTGAAGAAAGGAGCAGTATTTTTCAAACCTGTGTCGCCATCTCGAATCAAGCGAAATCCGCCAAAATCTGAGAAAATTGTGCCTTACTCAAAAAGATCGAAACTGGATTACCCGGCGAAGGCGGATTCTGAGTCAACAAAGTTATATGAGGCCCAGCTTTCCTGCAAGCAGCTTCGTCTGATGCCAATAAGATTTCGACATGCTCGAGGCCGAGCTGCCTTCGAATCAAATCCGTGTTCTCACAAAGAACCTCCATTTCATCGAACGGCAGCTTCAGATCAAGGGCGTGAACGCCAACCGACATGCTCGAGGCCGAGCTGCCTTCGAATCAAATCTGTGTTCTCACGAAGAACCTCCATTTCATCGAACGGCAGCTTTAGATCAAGGGCATGAACGCCGACAAACGCCAACCTGCGACACATCGTCCATCTTGAACTTAATAAAAGACATGCAAAGTTTCTGTATCTGTTTAATGTTCATATCTTTCCCAAGAGAACCTTCCTTCAGTTCTTCCAATATTTCCTTCTCAGATTTAAAAGAACCTGTTTCTCTGTCAAATTTTCTTTGAAGTATTTTTAAGCATTCTTCTTTCCAACCATCATATTGCCCATTAACATAAATAAGACCTACAGAAAAAATGTTATCTTCTGATTGTAAAGTTGTAGTCCCCTTCTTATTCTTCTTGGGACCTGATTGTTGTTTCTGAAGCAGTTTTCTCATTAAAATAATTGAATCCTGCAAATATTTGTTAGCTCTCTGTAAAGTGAGATCCGGCGAAGCTGCCGAAGGCCAACCAGCATTTATCACAAAACCATCCTTCTTTAAGAGAAATCTCCACGCGAATTCCGCGTAATGCGGGCATATAGGGGCAATAAGTCGTGTTTGGACGTCGATAAACCGCAATAATAAATCATGATTCATGCCAATTGATCCACAAGAAACTCGGTACTCATCTCGAGCGGCCTGTAAGTCGTAAAAACCTGTTTTTAGAGCATTTCTGAACATATAATCTGCGTAGTTTTGTTCGGTTGAACTAATAGCAATGTTTATCTCATTGTCAAATGCACGATCAGCATAGGTAGACGGCGGCCCAGCCCGGAGAGACGAATCGGCAGCCAATACTTCTTCGATCCACGAAATCTCTTTGGTCAGCCTCAATATAGCAGCATTCGCGGTTTCGAAGACGAAGTTTGCATCATCCATAGTATCCCCAGCATCGGCGAGTGAAAATCGAGTCGCATCGGTAGAAAATTCCTCGATTGCCTGCCGGAGAGTTCTGAAATTTCCGGTGGACTTCGACATCTTCTCAGAATTGAGCATCATGTGCCCGTTGCAGCGGAATCCACACGGCCAATAATGGCGGGGTACGAGAGCTGTGTGGTTATAAATGCAAAATGTGAGATGATTCTGAATCAAATCTTTGCCCGATACGCGAAGATCAAAAGGGTACCAATATTCAAACTCTTGCTTCATTTGGTGAAGAATGGAAGATGAAATATCGGATGATGGCCACTTCCCGCCACAGAAAATGTAATCCCAAACTTCGTCGGTCATCTGTTCGGGCTTAACAGATGAGGAAACCGAACCATACAAATCACCATTTTGTAGAAGGTGAGCAATGGTGTAATATGCCATGTAGAAAGTTGAATCAGACAATGACTCAACGAGGAACTGTTCGTCCCAAGGAAGACGAGTACCGAGTCCAAACGACCTCGAACAAGCCCACTGATTCAACCAACTCAGTGTATGCTCGAAACAGTGACGAGTTTCTTCAGAGTAGAGCTTCATACTCGACAAACAATCTTCTGCCTTCTTCTTCCACTCCTCCTCGCCATACGTAATGTACCACTGATCTGTTAAAGCCACCACACATTCATCGCCGGATCTTGACATGACCTTTTTCTCTGGCTCGCTGTAAACAACTGCTTGTCCGGTTTCAATAAGTAAGTTT